ACTCGTTTCATAAAATTGGTATTACACGGGAGCTCGTTTAGTATTCTATATATAGCAACCATTCGTCACTACTCGCCCCTTTCCGTCTTCGGTTTGTCGACGTCCCGGAATGACACGAGTTAGTCACGGATCTGCCCGACACCTACTGCAAATATGACGTAAAACCAATGTGACGAAAAGACTTTATGACGTCACGCCATTATGATGTCATTCGCTGACTACGGGTTTGTCGTCAACACAAGCAGTTGATGGAGAGACGGGAAGCCAGAGGTTTGATACTGTCCTTTTAGAAGATACAGGTATTTGGATTATCAACTTTGGTCAACTTATATCTTGCATAATGTTGTATGATCAGAAACTTCGTCTTTCCCTAATTTGAAAGCAAAACGTCGTGACATTGTCTGCTAGTCATGTTTTGGATCGAAATTTTGGATATAAATATCTGCATTATGTGGAACATAAGGATAATGCTTATCTTTTGCATCAGTTTATCTATATGATTCTGATGCTTGGATCATAACCGTACGTTGTGTATTCCCTTCAATACATAAATATAGGGACCGGAAAAGTTCGTTCTACCCTTTCAGTGAAATGTTTTTTCATTTTGATTCCTTGGAATTAAACTATTTATTCCGTAATGCTCCTCCAAACCCCTATTATTTTAGTGAGGCGACTAAAATGGTCCCTGAAAAGATTTAGAAACTGCTTCAGAGAGGAGATCGCGCACATTCCTTACCCAAATGACGGAAGGTGTCCGGTAAAATGACTCCTTACCTAACTTATTTTTCATAAGTAAACAATGAACTTGTAGAGTAGAGTGTGTTTATTACGGTAAAGGGGTCACCGGCCCATTATAGATGAAACTTGACATATTAAGCGTTGAAGCGCCATATAATATGATTACAGTTTCTGTTTATGCAAATATTAAATGATGGACATCCATATTATGCAAAATATTTACTACGTTTCTTTAAAGCTAAAAAGGTAAATTTAGCCAAATTATTTATGACCGTGATTTTCTGTGATGTGAATAATAAAATAAGCTTATTGTTCGATGGGAATTTATAATAACATTCTAGAATAAGGCTTTCTCTTAAGTCCTGATAAAATGGACATTCAAGACAAAAATGTAGTTCTGATTCAATATTAGGTATTACACAAAAGGGACAAAGGCGATTCTTACGGTCAAGTTTGAGACGTCGACCGTTCTCAATCATTAGGTCGTGGTTGGAACAGCGGAACGTGCATAACGCTATGCAATAAGCTTTTACATTAATTACATTAAAATAATCTTCTTCGCTTAACTGCACCTTAATTTGTCTGTACATTTCAAGTTTAGAATATTTACCAAGGTCTGATAGCCAATTTTGAACGTCAATGACAAGACATCTTGGTTTAAACTCGAATAGAAATTGTTGGACATTGACAACACGCTGCACCATCCATACCTGTCCAAAACCATAAGTGAACAATAGGTTTTTTACTTTTAGTGCCCAGCAATCTATATTTTTCTCTGCTAAACTATACTGATATCTATATACATTGTACACTATTATATTTTCCCTTTGACTTATGCACCTCATCCAATATTTAACTATCTTAATGTGTATATTGACATTCAAAGAGTACCTGCCAAGCTCACCACGAGCTACAATGTTCGGAGTCGAGACAGAAAGTCTTAGTATTTGTTTACAAAACTTATCCTGAACATGAAGAATATTAGGCGAAGAGTGAAAACCCCAAACTTCGGCTCCATATAGCAAAATAGGTACAATTTTTACATTAAAAATATGCAATAAGACCTTAAGTGGTAAACTATAAAAATCCTTAATGTATGATCTAGCTAATGATAACACTTTCCATGCCTGTTCAGCTAATATTTTCTGTGTAATATACCAACTGCCAGAACTAAAAAAATGAACGCCCAAGTAATTATACGATTTAACGATTTCTAGGTTTTCTCTACCCAAATAAAATTTCTCATATTTCCTCAACCTGCCAGCTTTTCTAAATACAATAACTTTACTTGTATCAGTATTTATTGTAAGCTTCCATTTCTGACAATAGGAATCTAGTTTGTTAATTCTCATTTGCAATCCCAATGGTGTACTGTCAAACAAAACAATGTCGTCTGCGAAAAGCAAAATAAACAACTCAATAAAAACTAAACTTATACATCTTTGACCGTCTAGGGCTAGAAATTCCATGATATTCCTTGTGATATCATAAAATAGAATATTTAATTGTATAAATCTGATTGTGATATCTTGAAATTGTACATATCTATGGACCGTGATATCGATAAACGTTAAATGGACCCAACCATGTGATGGGACCCACAGCTGACCAGGGTCCACTTGCACAAAACCATCTTAGCGTTAAGATTATCTTAAGCCTACGTTAAAGTATGGGAGTTACGACCATCTTAGCGCTAAGATCGCTTTGTGCAAGTGGGCCCCTGGTAAACGTCTTAAAAAATATTTATTTTGCTGACATCCTTTTTACCGGACACCTATCAATCGGGTTTGTTTGATGCTACTATTATAGCTGCATGCGACAGCGTTACTATTTGAAGTCGGGTTCTCTTTTTCTTTCAGAGTTAAACTGAAAAATATACCCGGAACTCGGAAGTTGACACACGTCAGTTACTCTCCACCTAAACTGAGAAAAACGACACCTCCAAACATGTCCACAGCCCTTGACCGCAACATTGACCTGTCCAAGTACCGCCTCAAGGACCGCGTGCTCACGTGCACCATTTGCCTCGATCTGTTCAACGACCCGAAGATCCTGCCTTGCTTCCACACATTCTGTAAGGGTTGTCTATGGAGTCATGTTCTCAACACAGTGAAGCTACAGCGCTTCCCCTGCCCCCTCTGCCGCACCGAGATCCGCCTCCCCGAGGGTGGGGTCGACCATTTCCAAGGGAACTTCTACATCCAAGAGTTCACCGACCTCATAAAACAGGAATCCGAGGTCAAGGTCAAAAATACGAAAAATGGCGGCCGCTCTGAGACAGACGTCACCGTTTTCGGTGAAAAGAAATACCCCAACGCCATCTCATACAAAGACTTGTACTGCCCCACCCACGCATATAAGAAGGAGTGGGTGGTATCGTATTGTGCGAGGTGCAGGGTACCCATCTGCCTGCAGTGCAAGATGCACGAACACTCGGGGCACGAGTGGGAGGACTTGGCGGTGGTTGTGGGCGATGCGCAGCGACAGCTCCACACGCTTGATGCCAGGGTGAAGCGCTACCGGAAGGTCCTCGGGGATCTGAGTGAGGACAGGCGTAGCTACATGGACAACTTCTGTTCCCAGGTCAGCTCCGTCACCAACCAGATCAAGACGTGTGCTGAGGACATCAAGCACAAGGTGGACAGCAGGTAACTGGCATGACTAAAACCAGGGCTTATATGAATACACACGCTCATGAAGTCGAATATACAAACTATCAATATGTATACCGAAATCCTGCAAGTGTTCCCATTGAGGCTTTATAGATGGGAGGCTAAATCAAGTAAATGTACACATATGCACATACGACCACATCAAAATAAATTTTTTTGTAATATTGATAGATGTCATAAGGACCATGCACCCTATTTTTCTGACTGACTGACTGACTGACTGACTGAGTATGGTTTTACGCCGCTTTTAGCAATATTCCAGCAATATCACGGCGGGGACACCAGAAATGGGCTTCACACATTGTACCCATATTTTTCTGAAAAGACACACTGGCAGTATCGTTTGATGATGCCTTAATTGTCCGATGATTTTCATAATAATTATAATACAGTTATATAGCGCAGCATACACCATGCTGTATGCTCTGTGCCCATTTGATGCTGATAATAATGAGAACGACTTCGCAGATCAGTTAAAAAGGAGAATTTTCGCATTCTTCTTGACGATTGTCAGATTTTGTGAAGATTTGATGTCGTGAGTCAAAGCATTCCATTTGCTAGTTGCTGAATATTGAAAGCATCACTTTTCAAAATTGGAGGGTTTTATGCATAATTGTCTAAGTTCATGAGTTGCAGAATAACGTATATCTATGGTTGATTTGTTGTAGATGCGAGTCGCTGCTGCTACTACTGGACCATCTGAAAGTGACCGAGACTAGCAGGGTGGAATCTCACGAGCTCCAAGTGGGAACCTGCATCAGCAGTCTAGGGGAGGTAACCCAGGGAGTAGAACACATGATGAAAGGGTCCGGTGTCCTTGACCTTCTAGCAAACAAGACTTACCTCAAGGAGAAAGCAGACGATACTGTAAGGAGCATCCCAGCATTCATAGAGAAAATCAGCGTCGTCTACGATCGTAAAAACCCCGACGGCTTGGCTCAAAAGATTGAGTGTGCTTTTGGTTATCTCAGCACGGAGAAGGATATGAGCGGGGGAGATGACAGGGAGGCTGTCCTGGACCCTCCGACAACCCCTGGCCTGATCACTGGACAACCTGAGGAGAATGTCCAGCAACCTGTTCTTGAGCAGTTCAACGTAACGCCCAGCAGACCCGGCCTAATACAGCGGGCCGTGTTTAAAGTTAGGCCTAACAATGCAGGCATCAGATTCATTGTCCCAATACCTAGCCTGGGGATTGTGATCGGCTACGACTCGAGCCCCCGGCACCTGGACGTCGTTGACGAAGTCGGGAACAAGATCCAGACCTACGACGCCGTGCCCAACACCTCCTGTGCGCTACTTCTGGGGCAAACTAACCTGGCGTTATGCACGTCAACACCGCGACAACTGAGCCAGAGACGGCTGCCTCAGTTCAGCTCCATCTCGTACCGCACCAGCGAACTGCCCTTCACACCCACAGGACTCGCCGTCAGGGACCCTCGGGAGCTTATCATCTGCGGCAAGGAGAAGGCGGGCATTGGAACCGGCATATACAGATACAGGTGAATGGAACTCAGATAATATGTCTACACAGTCACTCTCGTCAGCACGACGGAACTAAATAACAGAAAGAGCCTATAAAATGAGCACTTAGTCTGTAGCTGTGACATTTTCGACATCTCCTCAAAAACGATATAAAACCTGAAGCTGAGATGCTGCAATCCAGTGTCGATCTCAAAACATGGACGCTGCGATATCGCCATATTTAAACTACACTTTACCATAAAGTTCTGCAGTGTATAAAATTCCCCCAAAATGTCAATCAGACAACCGCACTGGCAACAATGCAAAGTTACCAGACCAGATAAAATGTTGTCAGTGCAGAATTTTCTTAACTTACGAGCAAAGGAAACAAAGGGGGGGGGGGGGGGGGGGGGGGGGGGGGGGGAAACAAAGGGGGGGGGGGGGGGGGGGGGGGGGGGGGGCATAAGACTAGTACTCATTAATGTTAGTTCTTAGAAAATAACAATTAGCTGGTAAATTGTCATCTTAGTAACTTTAACTCTCCACCATCCGGCCGTGAGACCGTACGTCAGCAAAACAGGCCGTATTTTAAACAGTGCCATTACCCAAATTTCGAAAATTGAGTGGAGGTGAGGTGAGGTGAGGTGAGGTGAGGTTTAACGTCGCGTCCAAGATTGTTGCACTTATATAGCGACGTGCATGTACGTGTATGTGTTTGTGTGGCTGCTTGTACTAGTCCGGACTGATGCCGATTTATAGTGCTAGCTCACTGAGATACCATGCCGCAGTTTAACATGAATACCTCACTCAGACACAGTATACTGACTCCGAGCCGACCAGTCCTTGTTTTAGCCCCTTAATGCCGAGCGCCAGACAGGGTAACAACAAGTACCACCTTTTAACGTCTTTTGGTATGACGCGGCCGGGGATCGAACCCCACACCTTCCGCTCTCCGGGCGGACGCTCTACCACTAGACCACGTCGAAAATTGAGATGCAGTACGTGTATGCACAATAACAGTGTGATTTATTCTCTTAAATAAATCTTGAAATTGGACATTAATGTATTTCATAAACATATGAAATGTAACTAAGAATACACTTATAGTACTCCACTACGACTCCCTTATTTCAGGGGCGGTCTGGTGGCCTAGTGGTTAAAGCGTTCGCTCGTCACGCCGAAGACCCGGGTTCGATTCCCGACATGGGTACAATGTGTGAAGCCCATTTGTGGTGTCCCCGCCGTGATATTGCTGGAATATTGCTAAAAGCGGCGTAAAATCATACTCTCTCACTCACTCACTCCCTTATTTCAACCAAATTAACAGTTCCATCTTACCGAATATTCCCGTAAACCTGTCGTTAATATTTTAACACAATCTCTTTTTCTTTAATTTATATAACCTCAGACATCATCCTTCCGTTCATTTCAGCCTGGAAACTAAACAGATTCGCTGTGTGTACGCAAATGGTGACCTTCACATTCTAAAAGCGCCCTCTAGTGTCGTAGTCACTCAAGATGGCGACGCCGAGGTGTTCGTCGTATCTGACCCAAAGCGCAAGGCCGTTTTCTTTTTCGACATAGCGGGGAACCTCCTGAATACTTTCCCCACACAACGCTGTAGCTTCTGTCCAGAGGGTTTGTGCTGTGACGCTGAGGGCAACGTCCTTGTCGCCGACAAGGGAAACAACTCTGTCGTGCTTCTTTCCCCGATGGGCGTATTCATTCAGGAACTAACGAGAGGCGTCAACCCCCGGGCCCTCAGCTTTGACGGGGCGGGGAGACTGTGGATGGGGGAGTCTGAGGGAACGATTACCATCTTTGATTATGTCATGTAGATTGAGAGGGGATTTATATTTTATACCGTTCTTAAAAATATTAAGTTTCATAAATGGACTGGAAACTATTCTCCTCCATATTTTGTAGGCATGTTTTAAGAAAATATTTCTATTATATTACGTATAGATTTTAGAATATATATTATGTTTTCTACTAAAAATATATCATGTAACATTTTCACTTGATATCAATTTTTTTCGCGGATCAGAAACCATATAAACACATTAAAAGATGTCTTAATATATATTCTATACAAATTAAATTATAACAGGGTTAAATTGTGTATTTATGTTTGGAATAAATATGTTCTTACAGTCATTTTGGTGTCTTGCCGGCTTGAATGTTCCATACCTTCCAAAATATGAGGAGATGAGGGCATGGCTGTACTACCCAGGTAAGGTTCGTGGTTTGTGTTGGCTTTCACAACAGATTGGTAGTAAATAAATAAATGGAAATCCGGATGGTTACGGCCAAGAACGTCTAAACGTTGCCACGTGTCCTTATTTGTACGTCCGCAGAATTTCACTGGAAACGGTACTGCCTGATGCAACGAAGTTTAAATGGGCCCTGATCTCTGACAATTCTCACAAAGCGATCGTATCAATTCGGCTTTTGTAAGCTATGCTTATTGTTGGAGTTAGATAGTCGAAGCTCGAGTCACTGGCCTAATTCCACTATCTCCCATTACTTAAATATAGAGCGTCCCAGCGATATGGACGCTTTGCGTAACGGGACCATGGCTGTATGTTTGTCTGTTGTCGGCGGTCTGTATATAATCGAGTCTGGACCAGACAATCCAATGATTAACATCATGAGCATCGATCCACGAAATTGGGATCGATAACATGCATCAACCAAGTAAGCGAGCCTGACCACCCGATCCCTTTAGTCGCCGCTTACAACCATCTTCCCGAGGCAAGAGAGTAAACTGACTTTAAAAGTCCAGTTTCCACCCTTGCGGAACTAGGCTGGAATTACTTGGCTCGATCGTAGCGCCACCAGTGGCTATTACCAGTTATGCCCCTTCTAAGCCTATCCTATTGACCAATCAGATTCCACCTCTCGCATCACTTGCGTTTGTTTCACACAAAATGGTGGCGCCGAGTCAGGACTATCTGATCGATAATCAAGATCTATATTGTGATAAAACGGGTCTTATATCGCGAAATGCGTCAAATCACGTGAGCACCTTGATTAAAAACATGTAAAGATTTGGAAAATATCTGCTGACAACGAGTTTGCGGTGAACATGCTTTGCAAACCTTGCAATCGACCGGAATCTGCACGACAGTTTACGAACCGGATTTCGATTTCGGTTCGCGATTTTGATTGGACTATGCATAGACTCGTTAGTCCCGCCAAAATATAACTCCATAATACCAGCCTAGTTCGGCAAGGGTGGAAACTGGACTTTAATAGACAGTTAACTCTCTTGCCTCGGGAAGATGCTTACAACAAGCATACTCGCCTTTTACGGCAAGCATGGGTTGCTGAAGACCTATTCTACCCTGGATCTTCACGGGTTTGGCTGTAGGTATGTCAGTGTGTGTGTGTGTGTGTGTGTGTGTGTGTGCGTGTGTGTGTGTGCGTGCGTGCGTGCATGGCTCTTTCACCCCACATTTTCTGACTCACACAAAGCGGCGTGAAAGAGACATTTAACAACATCGTAAAACCCAATTCAGTCAATGTTCATCGCCATTGGCATTCATTTGTCTTTTGGTTGCAAGCCGGAAAAAAACTGAGACGGCATCGATAAAGATAAATTTAATCACATATATAAATTAAGGACTTTTTGTCAATTTACAAGTGTGTGAATGCAGATATACACACTGGGTGTCAAGAAATAACGCTTTATTAGACTCCTAATACTTCTAACACAAGTATGTTTTTTAAACAAAGTCATGTAAAACATTGGACAAGGCCTACTTGCGTGTATGCCATTATGCAAATCAGCAGCTTAGCTTGTCATTAATATGTCTAACAAAGTAACATGTATCCGTTTTACCTGACCGTGAAATGGCTTGTAACAGTCTGGAGCAAGGGACAAGGAACAGGACTCAAAATAACTGATATTTACAATCATAAAACTAAGGAAATTAAACATCGATATTTTAGATAAAGTTCTGAACGTTTTGAGCAGATACACTACTGTCCGAAACAAATGTTCTCTAGATTGCTTAGATTAGTGTGTTTTATTGGGATTCATTTTTAAAGGTTGAATTTGATGAAAAGTGCATCAGACAGCTCCAGAGCTAAAAACATAATCTGAGAACAAAAAACAATCTGAGAAGAACTCACAAAATGTTTCTTAGTATGCGATTATTTCAACGTCATCGGTGAGTCTATTTTCAAGCATCAAGATGCACAATATCGGCACTAATAACTAAATTTAATGCATAATTATTATAATTGAATGAGTAATATCATAACGCGAATAAAACACCGCAAATTCCCTGACCGTATACAAAACAAGACATGGAGGCTCACCGTTACGATGTTCAAGTCACATTCTGTTTTTAGCCCTATGCTGAGGTGTCATTACATTCATATCAGAAGCTGGATGAGTGAGTGAGTTGGTTCAGGTCCGACTTAAACAGTGTTTCAGTTATATCACGGCATGTAAGCTTGGACGCAAGCACAGACCGTTGTCGTTTACCCCTTTGGGGAAATAAACGGGCACCGGTAGGGAGCTGACAGACCAACGATCGGGAAGAACATGAGATTCAAACCCACGATCAGCGAGTCCTAACACTTAGAGGACGCAGCTCTGCACAGCGAACACCGTGCCCACTGGGCCAACCAAGCTTCATTGAAGACGATCCACATGGTTGCAGCTAGGGTTGCTGGTACTGTTGTAAAGGCCTGAAGTAGACTATGGACACGTGAACAGGAATGACACAGAAGACAGATGAATGACATTATGATTATGGTACAAAAAGCACTGGAGCATACGCATTTTAATGTCAATATTAGCTGTAAGACTAATAAATGAGGTTACACAGGAAACAATCAAAGAGGTACTAGGCTCCAAAGTGTTTTGCTCATTGCCAGTTTCTTTGAACTAATTGTGCGGTCCTGGTACATCGTCTCCGTGTCATTAGGATATTCCTAAGGGAGTTTGGTTTAATGCCGCATTGAACAGTATTTCAGCTGTATGACAGCGTGCCAGCTTAATGTGAGGGGAAAGTCCGAAATGATGCAGGTCTCAGACATTTACCACTTTTGTGAAACCCACGTGCACGGTAACCAAGAAACATAATCTGATTGGATCTTGAATTCGAACTTGGCACGGACGTCTGAACAGTGAATCGCTGCGTCTTAGACGACAAGAACACTTGTCTCCGGATTGTGATAAACCTTTCAATGACACTAAAGACTACCAGGTGGTACGATCCTAGTGCCACTTCAAGGAATTCGTTTACAACCTGAAAAGGATGGAATGACTGAGCACTGTTAACCTTTACAAGCCTAATGTCTCAAAAGACACCCCAAATAGGACTACATATTTGCTGGACACAGTGTCTCATCCCATATAACAAAGCCGCTTTGAACAGTATTTCACTAGTATCACGATGTACCAGTTCATGATGAAGTAAAGCCCAAAGAGACGCAGATTGTCGAAAACCGATTTTTCGAACCAATCACGGGTACTGTGTTGTAACAAGGGAATATAAATGAGGCGAATCTGAAACTCGAAGGCACGATCCTTGATAGGATCGTCATAAGCGAAAGGGAGGTAACTTTGCATGTGAATTGCGGCGCCGTAGACGACTGGACCACCCGCTCCCTTCTTTTGAATGTACATGCAATATTACGAAACATACAAATAGATTGAAGTTCTTATATACATATTAACAGCGCAAGCATAATGTTCACAGATCTACGTCCTGATAACTAAATACTAACACAGAGGCGACACACTATCTAATACTGTCTGAACATACATGTATAGCACCTTAAGGATTATCAGCAAAAAAGGGGCACTTGAGTTTGGTGCCAAATATACACAGAATCGGAACATGGTTTGTAATTAGCATTAGTACAAGACAGGTCTGGAACGTCGCGTGTCTTTGAAATTAGTAGAACGCCATTTTCAAATGACGCGCCCAAGCAACTTCAACTGCGATTGGTGCTCTGAAGATTTTTCGACCAATGACATGCAAGGTTACTTCATCTTGCTACGTCATCACGTGAGGTTATCTGTAGTAATAGAAGTAGCTAGGCAGGTGCGTTTTTTCTGTCCTCATCCCTGTAAAACAAAAGAATTCATAGCAATATTATGTAGTTACTCATTGACACATACAATTACATACGAAGAGGCCTTACATAGTGAAGTTAAATCTCTGTGTTATACTTCATATTAATTAATTTAAGATGAATAAAACAATATTAGAAGTAAAGATATATTTTTAGGTTTTATATGTAGGTTTATAATGTAATATACATGAATATATTATTGTATTTCCCATTTAGTACCATGTACAGAAAACCCCGTAGATTTAAATTTTAGTAAAATATATTTGAAAGCTGCGAAAGCATGTTTAGACACATGTACATAGGTAAACTAACCACAGTTCTTGAAACAAAGATTTGCATCATCAAAGATCACAGCACAAAGTGATCTGAATTTATCACAAACATGTTCAAATATCCCAATACACGACATATCTGGGAAAAGAAACCAATTCAATGCCTCCAATTCTAAAGTCAATAGCGTTGTGGCAAGCAGATTAATTGCAAGAGCACACATTCTTTTTCTGTTATAAACTCTCCATTCGACCTTTCGATGATCGAAAACAAATCTGTGATGCTGTGATTGCTCAACGAAGAAAAGAGCAAAACATGAAATCATATGAATAATAAAGATATAAGGCGTATTCTTAAGTACTTGGTTTACGGATCCAATGTTAAAGAAATCACAAATTTGAAATTCATGTTTGTTTCGCTGCGTTTTTTCATTTCTAACCACTTGAATTGAATTTTTTATTTTATTCAAAACACCAACACTATAGTTTGAGAACAAAATCCATAATCCAAGTATTAAAAAACTAAACTGTAACTGTAAATTGGAGCAAATAAATTTGAAATTAAGAATCAACGTTAACGTCATCAGCATGCGGCGTTACCACGGCGGTGGTGTTCACTGTGGTGCTGGGGGAAACTTGAGGCGTCCACTGAAACACGGACTGGGTCGCCTGAGTGTTTAAACAAGTGTTAATATTGGACAATCTTGGTCAGCGTGACCGGGAAATCTATGGAGAGTTCCCAAAGCTTTAAATACGTGGTAATCTGAGCAATACGCTTAAAGCGACCTTGAAAACCTGTTATTCGATTCAAGTCTGAAGTGCAAGATACTTAACACAAACAAAACTGCACGAGACACATATCGGTACGCACACAAAGCAAAGTTATGTCTTAAATGCACACACTTATTTTCATTTATTAAATGAATATTTAATTGTTCTATTAATTTCAGTGATGAGTCGATTTTTCTTCTGACAGCCTAATTTTGACACTGAACACATTTTTTAAGCAACGAACATAGACACATTTATTCAAATTTGGCCACGTCATGGAGGGGGTAAATCACATGTGCTATATCGTAGCCTCACAACATACATTAACTAGATCTGAGGTGATCACAAGCGCATACTCCCATCTTAAGCATTGTGTTTTATTTGCATAACGTTTGTTTATTTAACGCCACACAAGATTTACATGTTTTTTATCGCCTCCATGGTCCAGTGGTTAGAGTGTCTGCCTGGAGAGCGTAAGGTCGGTGGTCGTGACTATCAAAACACTACAAGATACTTGTTGTTACCCTGCCTGGCGTTCGGCATTAAGGTAATAAAACAAGAACCTAGTCGCCTCGGAGTCAGTACAATGTGTCTGAGTGGGGTATCCATGTTAAACTTCGACGTGGTATCTCAGTGGGCTAGCACTATAAAACCGGCGTAAGTCCGGACTAGTACAAGCAGCCAACCACACGTGATTACACGTCGCTATGTAAGTGAAATTAGCTTTAACGCGACGTTAAACCCAATTTCACCTACTTGATTTTCACCTTTTTTTAACTCTTGTAAACTCTTTTAAATTGCTAAGGAAGTAAATGTTTTAGAATTTCCGTATTGGATAAAATCATGACATTCAACCTCTGTGTACCTTAGACACTTAAACGGACCTAATTTCGCAATTAGTGATAGGAGAAAGACGATCTACTCTAACGCATTTTCCATCTGTAACACAAGACACAAGACACAAGACAAAAGCCACGTGCCACATTCACTATACACACATACAAGTACAACATACATGTATATAACGTATTGTCGGGCAATACATATCCCTGCACACTAGCAACATAAACTTTAATTTGGTGTTGGATGATGTCGAAAATTGCGTCCATCGTCCTTGACCTTTGACGGCGAATAACGTCAACAAAATCATGACTACAAGCTATATCACTTTCGATATTTACTATTTACTGCTCAAGCAACAAAATTAACATCATGAAGGGATATAAATATATAAATATGACGTCAACAAACACATAACACGTAAACAGGATTATGCGTACAAGAGCATTTTACAAAGCATATATACATGTATATAATACCAGCAACACTTTTTCAAAGTGTATATCAAAGGCAAAAACCTTCACCACAACCTTTATCTACCATAGCAGCGGCTATGTATGTGTGTAAGGACTTACCTCAACCATTAGGATATCGCTATCTACATGTGCTTCTATGCCTACTCTCATATCTTGCTATCAGACAGTTATTCGTTGTTATTTGTCCCCATCAATCGGGATTAATCCACTTTCTAAGTTTTCTACATGATGTGGATCAGTTAGAATCAATCTGGACACTATATAAATGACACAAATGGTTTAGAATAGCGACTAGACACTATAGCATTGGCAACTCACGACTCGCCGACTTTGCGCAGTTCTTATCAAGGCATTTCAACATCATTCGTATTTTCACATACGATTTTCCATTATAGGACTCAATCCGCCTGCCCTAGGAGGAAAATTCGGGACATGTAGGGATGTTGTTATGTTATTTAGGAAGGCAATATGTAACATTGGTACATTGGTGAGTCTTTTTATTTCCATTTGATTATAGTTGGTTAAATGACAAGATCTATATAGACACAGAAACTTATCTTTTGATGTCAATCTAAAATAGAATCTCTTTCGATGTAGTTCCCACAAACTAATGATTGAACGGGAAGACACAGAAAAACCCATAGACAATTAATATTTTGCACCGAATGTAATCTAGACCTTATTGAAGATGAATCACTTCCTGTTAATAGGCTGTAAATATGATAATCTAAAGCGTATATTATCAAGACTCCAAATATCTAGTATACATTTTTTCTATCTATTTATATCTTCAGTTAAGATAGGTATTATCCATTGTCCATGTATATTTATAATTCTATGTCAGTTATAAATTAATTTATATTAAATATCTACAACCTAAATGCTGAATACTATGGGCCTGTGGTCTCAGTTTTGTATGAATAAATTATCTATCTAAGACCTATATATTTATTTACGTCACTGGACATTATTTGCTTGTGCTTGTTCTAGATTTTTCCTTCTCTGTGGAAAGTGATTAGGCTCGTTCTTGATATAAATGAAAAGTAAAATATAGTTAATATACATGTATAGTGCAAATCACTCAAACCGCGCGTCAAACATATTAATATTAATGATTTGAGGTAAATCAATGCTAATTGTATGGGCAATATTTTTCATGACCTGAACAACTCCTTTACATTTGTTTACATTTAAACAGGATAAAGGTCCCACTTTCGTCAGTTACATTCACTAGTAATGTATCTTAACTTTTGGTTTCATTGACCATATAGACCATATCTACCAAGTGGGTCTAACGAACAAGACATCACAGCTCTCATCACGCAAACAAGAACACAAATGACAACTTGCCTTCTCTGAATCGGCCTTGCAACACGTCCGTTAGGATACAACAAACTGCTACTAATAAACAATTAATGCGAGCAGAAATTAATGCGTACAACGCGACAGGCTTTCACTCTTTAAAATGATGCCTTAAAGTTGAAATTTAATTTGTTTTAGAAGAGGATAGGGCACGTGGACATATCTCGCATTAATATCTGATTTGAAGTCGCGTCTCGCATTAATTTTATGATGCATTCATTTCGTGATTTATAAAATGAGAAAGGTCGGCTGTAACTGATAGTAAATAATTTTTATTATGAAATGTTCCAATGATCTATGACAGGAATCTTTTCTATGCATTACGATCTAAATGTTTATCCGATGACCAAACTTTCGAAGCGATTGGAACATCGTTTGAAGCTGAAATATATTTTCACACATTTGGTATTCAGAAACTTACATATGATACTGGCAGATTGTGTTTTGGTCGAGCCATCTCTTAGAAAATGTGGCCGTCGGAGTTTGAAAGAGATTATTATGTTTAGATAATTAGGACGCCGTTATCTCAGCATCCTCTCTTACCCATCTTAGTCTCCGCTGACAGAAACGTCCTCTGAAACCCCGTCTACAGCGACATGTCTGCGGGGCAATGCACCGACCCCCGTGACGACATCGGGGCCAACATAACGCTGCAAGCAGAAATCATGAGAGTTATTGAGTTTTTGATTCACGCTCTCTCTCGACCTGTAGGCAATTTCAAAAACTGATTTTACGTAAAAAAACGTTGCGTAATAACGCGTTGCGGTTGCTGGACTACTGACAACAAGATTGCCAATTTCTAATAAAGAAACTCCGTCGAACCTAAGAGCGTCCTATTAAAAATCTCACTCAAACGCATTCCGTTTGAAATGGAAGGTACATTTTTCGAAATTATGTTTGAAATACCTCTATTCTTTTGCAGCAAAGCATTGCAATGGGGAGTGAGTGAGTATGGTTTTACGCCGCTTTTAGCAATATTCCAGCAATATCACGGCGGGGGAAACCAGAAATGGCCTTCACACATTGTGCCCATGTCGGGAATCGAACCCGGGTCTTCGGCGTGACGAGCGAACGCTTTAACCACTAGGCTACCCGACCGCCCCTTGCATTGCATTGGGGTCTATTAGAAACCCCCCCAAAAAAATCGACAGAGTTGTCTCCCCGGACTACTCCCCACTTCCGGCGCGTATAGTCGAAACGAAACATGACAGATGTTGACAACGTGACAATTGTTTATGAAAAACAGCCACTTTATTCTTCACATCGACTTTCCAGGTTGCCTTCATTAGGTGGCCAGTATTGACTTAATATGCATACGTGCTTATATGTGTGCAAAAGGTTCGCCTGATGTACAAACATAACAATATTATGACCCTCCTGACTACGACATTAGCTGGCAACAAACCAAAATTCTCCATACCAACATCACTGGAAAAAACGAAACTATTGAAATATATAGAAAGCCAGCCATTCACAGAGACCAATGTCAACTTAGAATTAATAAATATAATTTCTGAATCATTTGACACAATATTAAGAAAATCCTTCATTATGATGACGGTACACACTCATAAACCACTGAAGTGTAGTGTCACATTTAGGGCAAGAACATTCCTCAGCATATATTACACCTTGTCATATGATGCAAAGCATCAAAGGAGAATTTGACATAAAATCTGCGTTTCCTATATCACATGTTCATTCCACATGCTGACTCACGTTTCTGGCAGCTGGCCCCGGCGTACCCCCGCCTACAGACGCAGATGTCTGGCTTGAAGCACACTCCTCCATTCTGGCACGACAGATGACACACAGCTGACGAAAGAAGGGATGTTGAAATAATCTGTCAGCCCGTGTAACGAAATGTTCCACATCTTAAAATGATTCCTGATATCTTGACAACATTTCTCATTGCACTGGGTGTCATATTAGAAATTCACATATTGATATCAATCAATGTGTACCTGATATCATCAAACCTGTCAACTATATGAACATATAACTTATTGATATCATTCAGTTACAGATGTTAACAGATTTATTGACAACCTCCGGTCTACCCGTTTCTGCTATCAAAAATAAAATTGAAGATATCAAAAATAAATTTGAAGTCTTAGATATACCGATATTATTTGATGATATCCTATATTGTTTGATAATGTCGCGATATGTTTTTTATTATTTTAATTTACACACTACACAATAATTATAATAAATTCATGTCATGTCCTCAATATACACATATTTCGTAATACCAATATCCGTATCATAAAAAAGATGTCATTCAATGACAAAATTAAACTCATTGAAAGATATCATAAAAAGTACTGACGATATCAATAATTGCACCTTAAATGTGAAAACTCAGCTTCCCCAGTAACCTAGTATGCTTTTGTTACGAGGAGACATAATGAATAAGTGGTAGGCCTCGGCTAATACTTCGCTGGTAACGTGTCATCGTACTCTGACAGCGCCGATTGGTGCTCATAACATCAATCACTTTTTTGTTTTTGCTTGTTTCTTTACAGGGCGCCGTCATACAGGCGTATATTGCCGAGTACGACAGCAAACAACAAACAAACATATAATACATAGGATAACGGCTTGCCTTAACGGCGTGCAGCACACACTGTTCAATGTTACCTTTGTCACATCTCCTTCCTGACCATCCTGAGGGACAGGAGCACCGGTCCGGACCCACACACTTCGCTCCGTTCATACACTTAGGGCGACAGGAAGCTAGGTAAGGGGAGACAACCGCACACAATCAGTATATGACATCATCTGAGGTGACTTCAAGAACGTTACGTTAACTGGGATGTGGTGGAATGTAATATGAAATAGTGTTAATTGACATGACTTAATTGATGGAATGTCATATGAAATAGCGGTAATTGACATGGTTTAACATGCTTTAGAGGGCTCGCACGAAGAGAATGATGAAGAGCATTGATAGAGAGTGTTAGTTCCAAGCTGAAGATGTACTGCTAATATGCCTCCATCCCAGAGATGTTAGAACAAGATTTAAAGAGTAGAGATACTATCACCTTTACAACAACTGCACAAGAAGAAACAGCAACAACAACACTATAGAACAGGTACGATAGAGCTTGTCAAGCTGAATTTGCAAGAATCGCAGGCGCAGAAAGATATCGGCACACTTCTAGGGCTGATGTGGTCTTCAGAAAAGGGAGACAACTGTATATGACACAATCTGATTGTGGACAGCACAAATACCATTTTAGATCTAATTCGCCCTTCCATTTTTTTCATCACAAACTTGTGTTCATAAACATTTTCAGATCATTGGTCGAAATGAAACCTACACGGGACTTATAAAGCAGATTTTGATAAAGATCTGTTTATCAAGAATCGCTGGCGCAATGTGATATTCGTTCTAATACCTTTGGCCAATAGGGCGCAAGGGGAGATAACCGAACAAAGTGTTCAAGGCTCGTAAAAATCGCTGGCGCAGTTTGGTAGCAGACCCACCTCGTTCACACCTCTCCCCTGTGTAACCGTATCCACATTTACACACGTTAAACCTTTTACACTTGCCACCATGGAGGCAAGGCGGAATGCAGATGGCTGGGGAAGAGAAATTATTATGACAGATCTTTTTGGTCGTTTATTATTGTATAGACATGGAAATCAACACTTTACTCTGTCAGATTATCGACATAGTTGTTTAAAGAAGGTCTTATTTTGTTTTGTTAACATTTAACTTTGCTCAGTATGGAGTACTGCAAGGATCATGTTCCCCTTTTCGCGTGTTTAAAATCTCAACTTTTGGGAACCGGTTTCAATGTAAAACGTGCTTGATTAAAAAATCTCAGGAACGCTGATTACCCTTACAGTATTCCATAGTTGAGAGATGGAAATTAACATGGAAATATAATTATTGCATCGAAAGATGTCTTAACTAATCTCTTTACACTGATTCACAGTAAATATCAGTATGTTCTTACAGCTATCATAAAAGGATTAACCTACATTATATGACTTTATCGCCGAGAATCACATGAATACTACTTTTGGACTTAATAACAAAAAACAATGCATTTCACAAATATGTGATGAAGTAATTAAGATAATTATATTTTAATTTTAATTCATTATACTTTTGTTTTCGAGGACATTTCTGAGCTGCAAGTACCACACTCGTGTATACAATAGGGGAAACGTTCAGGGCCCTGTTCAACAAAGCGATCTTAGCGCTAAGACTATAGTAAATCAGTTACATTTAGGTTTAATTTAGCACAGACATACCCCAGTCACAGCGCTAAGACGGTTTTATAGAGTGGAACCCAGATTTGCATCGGAACACTTCAGGCCCGTAGGAGCAGTTGTTTTTCTGTTTTATTTAATTAACAAATTTTCATAAGGAGAATTTTGCTTAATCTCTCCAATATCTACATACATACTGAGTATTTGCTGCAAAACCGAATTTAGAATCAATATTATCTATGTACATGTTTCTTCGGGTCCCTTCTCGTCTCATAGTACTCCTGACTGTGATCAATATGACCGATATGATCAACTTATGCTATAATAGTTTCAGATGGCAGCCTTTCGGTGTAGAATTGGTACTTGTAGGGGACCGACCATTGGATATTCGAAAGGAGGGAGCTATATCTACGAGGGCTGGTAAAAAAATGCTAAGCCTGACTAACTTTCAACTATGGGCCATAACAAAGTGAACTGTTCAATGTAGTACATTGTTTGAGTAGTTCTTTGCAAGTGTTCTTTGAGGCCGTTTGTATATTAGTGACAGCCAGTTGAATGTGATAGGGGTCCAAATGGACACAGAAATGGAAAAGAACGAGTACCGAGCAGTCATCAAGCTTTTGGCTTTAGAGAAACGTACTCTCAAAGAAGTTCATGACCTCATGTATCAAGTGAATGGGGATAAGTGTCCTAGCTATTCCACTGTTAAACGTCTGGCAGCTATGTTTAAGGCTGGGAGAACAAGCAAGATGATGACCCTTGATCTGGACGTTCCTCAACTTCCATCAATGAAAAAATCAATCAAGGAGATAGCAAAACTTATACTGTCATATAGAAGTATTACCATTGCTGAACTTGGGGAAGACACAGGTCTGAGCCATGGATTCATTTAAACCATTATTCATGAACATTTACAGATGAATAAGATATCTGCCCGTTGGGTGCCAAAGTTGTCAATTCTGATATTAAGGGGAATGCCAGAGACAATTTAGAGCTAATTTTGGAGGATTTCGTCAAATTCAAAAAGAGATTAGTAACGGGTGATGAAACATTGGTCTACCACTATGATCCCGAGTCAAAACGTCAATCCATGGAACGGCACCATTCTACTTCTCCGGCACCAAACAAATTCAAATCTTCAAGATCAGTGAAGTAAGCAAGGGCCACTGTGTTCTGAGATGCAAAGGGTGTGATCCTTATCGATTACTTAGACAGTCAACAGACGATGACCGGGGCCTACTATGCTGATTTGCTTCATTGCCTGAGAGATTCTATCAAAGAAAAACGCCGAGTAATGCTGACTGCTTGAGTTTCAATACTTCATGACAATGCCCCTTTTCACACCTCCCGACTTGCAAAGGCTGCTGTGCAACAATGTGGGTTCGAAGTGCTTCCTCTACCTCCATACTCGCCAGACCGGGCACCAAGTGATTTCCACCTGTTTCCTAAACTGAAAGGGCTATGACGACAACGATGACCTCAAAGCTGCCGTGAATGGGTTTTTTCAGGGTGGCTTCAGAAAACGTCTTCCTGACTGGATTTGAACAGCTTCACTATCGATATGAGAAGCGTATTTGAAAAGCAGGGAGTTTATGTTGAAAATAAAATTTTAAAAACTTTCACAATTTATTTTTTTGCTAGGCTTAGAACCTATTATTCCGCCCTGACACGTTTTTATTTAAAACTATGGGCCTGAATCTTTCTTTTCCTTTTTTTAAAAAAATATAAAGCGCCTTACTTTATTTTTTGTGGTCGGCAATTCTTTTTTCAAGAGTCTGAATCAAAAAAACGTTTTCAAAAATTTTCGGGGACAGTTTTTTGGTTTCGTAAAGAATCTCAGAACCCCCACCCCTCCCTTCTCCACACCAAGAATATCAAATGGTCGGTACCTAAAGCAGTTTTGTTCGACGTAGGGACCTCGACAAAAGATGGCATTCTTGTACATTTTGACTGAATAGCCGATTTTACTGACACTAAATATTAAATCGAAGATTATCGCGAAATGCCTAATCGTGAGTAAAATATGAACCGAATCGCGTCTACATGTATCGTTGCAACCCCTACCGTATACAAGGTGACGGTCACATGAAATAGCCGGTAGGCCAAGGAACAAACATTACAATTTGT